GAAACTGCACCGGCGTTGCCCCGTTCTTCAGAGCCGCAGCCTGCGCTGAGGAAAGATCGGGGGCGGAAAAGAGGGGGGTGATGACTAGGGGGGGGTGGACATCATGGCGGGGGCCATGATATTTCCCCAGATTTCATGGCGCCCCTTCTTATTTCATTACGTCCCTGGCCCCCCCGCTGGGCCGCGCACATGCCGCCGGTCATGATTTGCACCCCCCCTCTTGGACACCCCCCTCTTGGCCGCTCCCGAAAAGAGGCATCCTGTTCCTGATAGCTGAGCTCCGGTTCCGTAGCCGAAAACAAACAACCACCCTTGAACCCTCTTGAGCCTCAGAGAAGCTAAAAACCTTTGCAAAACCTGCGGGAAATCGATGATGTTGGCCTTCTTGTATTTTCGCCTCCGATGGGCTGCTCACGCCGTTAAGAGGCCACCAGGAGGCCAAGAGACGCCATCAAAAAAGTCCGTCGAGGCTCCAAGAAGCCCCACGAAGCCCCCCAGGGGCCCCCCAGAACGCCCCAAGAGGCTTCCAAGAGGTCCCCAAGAGGCCCCCAGGAGGCTTCACAAACGTCCCCGGAGGCCTCCAAGAATTCCCAATCGGTTTCCAGGACGCCCCCAATAGTTCCCAAGAGGCCACAAGTGACTCCAAGAGGTCCGGGGGGGCCGTCAGGAAGCCCCCCAGACCTGCCCGAGCAGCCCCAAGAGAGTCCCAAGACGGCCTCAGGCTCCGATAAGGCCCTTCAAAAGCTCCTCAGAGCTGCTCAAGACGCGCCGGTTGTCCCAAGACGGCACCAGAGGCGCCCAAGACGGCCCACACAGCCATTGGAGGGCCCTGGGAGGGACCCCAGACGGGGAATTCCAACTGACATTTCGAGCCCCCCGCCTCCGCCAAGCCTCCGAGGCCGCCACCGGATTCCCAATGGGTCGCCGGGGAGCTCTAGCAAAGCCACCAAAATGCCCACAGGGGGCCCCCAAGACGCCCTCGAGAGGCCCCAGGCCCAGGAGGCCCCAGGGAGCCACCATGAAGCCACCAAGAAGCCACCAGGAAGCTCCGATCTTCGTAGAGCCCCTTGTGTGGAATCGTCGTTGCTCAGTCCACATTGTGAATGGCTACATCTCCAATACATGTTTGAACCACGTATGGGTAGTTCCTGACGTTACGTATGTGCGCACGCATCTGCACGCAGCTGTGAGACTGTCAGAGGCTGGAGCTTGATAGAACCTCAGCGCGCGCGAAGCCCGTGCGTAGTTCCAGTACTATTTCCATGTGTGCGGCGACCCCCCAGGGGCGACGCGCGCACCGAGAAATCTTACAGTACATACGTCGTGACGGACGCTTCTGGCCACACCGCTCGGGAAAACTACAATATGGTTATACTATATGTTCGTATCGGACGCACGCCTCTAAGGAGGACACGTGGTACTAGTATCTTCTTGCAAACAAGCGAGAGAGGATCTCCACTGCTATTTAGGCATCGAGCAACGATATGCTAATGTGTCAATGTCGTTACTTCGACTCGCCTCTCAAGGAACTTCTGCGTGGGAGAATGATTGCTCGAGTCCGACGCGGAAAAGGTGAGCATCCGACTTCTTTCTGTCGGCCTGGTAAGCTCAGTCGAAGAGGGATGCGAGCGACCTTCGGCTACGGTGCCCATCCCAGCCCATGCCAGATGCAGTTTTTTTGATGGCCTGGTCCCCAGCGACTGCGCAGCCAGACGGCAGGACGTGCATCATCTCAGGGCATTGTTGTGACATGGGACAATGGGCGACAAGGTCAGTTGGAGTAGGGTGGGGGTGTCCTTGGGTGGCAGTGTCTCTGCCAAGTCTCCTCGGATGTCTCTTGGACGCTTTTTGGAGGCTTCTTGGAGCGTCTCGGGGCCTTTGGCGGTCCTGGGGGCATCTGGGAGCGTTTTGGGTGCCTCGGGGAGCCTCTCGGGGCCTCTTGGGGTCTCCTGGGAGCTTATTGGAGGCCTCTTGGGGCCTCTTGGGGCCTCCTGGGCGCCTCTTGGGGCCCCATTGAGCCTTTTTGAAGCGCTCGCGGGAGCCTTGGAAGCGCTCTTCGGGCCATCTTGGAGAAGATCCATCAAACAATATGGGAGCCAATTTCGTTCCCCCTTCGGGAGCCCCAACAGTCGCCTCTTGGGGCGCTCTCGGAGAGCTTTTGGGCGCTTTAAAGGCCGTCTTGGGACGCTCCTGGGCCTCGCCTGGGGCCCTCTTGAGTCATCTTGGAGCCATCTGGAGGCCGCGGAAGGCCATCAGAAGCGAAAAGGCGAGAAGGCACACATCATTGAGTTTCTTGGGTTTTTGAAAGATTCTGGCCTCTTGGCGGCCTCCTGGGATGGCTCCGTGGCCACTTGGAGCCGTCTTGGAGCGGTCTTGGGGATTTGGGGGACATCTAGGGAGCCATATTGAGCCATTTTGGGCTATCTTGGGCCGTCTTGGGAGTAAGTTTGGGCTCTCTGAGGCCCTCTTGGAGCCGTCTCGGGCCATCTTAGATGTTCTGACCGCTCGCGGGGCGCCCCGTCAAGGTCCAGGGGAGGGGGGAGGGGGAAGGGGCAAGCCCCTCCCCGAAGAGGAGCCTCTCTAGACCACCTACGAGGACCTACGCCCAGAGGGCTGGTGGGATTAACTCTAGGCGCGTCCCATTACCATGCGCTCACCGAGCGGACCCACTGGCACGTCGGAGGGAAAGGGTATGTGTGCGCTGCGGGCAACATGTGCTCCAGTTGTGTTCGACCCTACTGACTGCGCGAGGTGGCCAGATACTTTCGTGCCCCTTCGACCTCCCCGAGCCCTCCCAGCAGTGAAGCGTCAGCACTGTCCTCCTAGCAGTGAAGCGTCAGCACCTGTAGCCGTTAGGATCAAGTGCACAAGAAATTCGTGCCGCGCTTTGTTGTCTCCACTCGAACGAGCCTCGGGCGATGGCTCAGCATCGCACTTGCGCTCTTCTCTGTGGCATCCTCGTCTTCGCCCAGTGCCCCCACGCTTCTCTGGCTCGCCGCCCTTCCGCGATCGAGAGGCTGAGCGAGGCCAGCTTCGTTGATGGCAGCGCAGTGCTTGAGGTCGCCGCGCCGGGCCATTTCCAGGAACCTGTGCAACTCAGGAGCAGCGCAGAAAACGCCAGCAAGGCCCTCATCCAGCGTCACGACCACCTCTTGGACGCGGCCGTGGCCTCCAATCTCACGCTTGGACGTGGAGACGCGCAGTCGGGGAGGAGTTGCATCGTAGGAAGCGGGGGAACGTAAGACTCGAGTTCGCCGGAACTCGGATTTGCTGGTGCTTGTTGACGGGCTTGTCCTGGATTTTGACGGTCTGGTAAGAGTGGGATGTGCGCAGCGGGAGCTCGCGCCAAGCTTCAGACTGGGACTCGTCATTTCCCCGGCGGCCCCCTCAGGCCAACCCGAGCCCCCCGAACCCGAGTCTTACGTCTCCCCGAAGGAGCCGCGCTCCAGGAGATGTTCCGAACAAATGCGAGACTCAAAGGTTTCGTGGCGAACCTAGCCCTGGCCATGTTCGCAGCTGGATTGGCGGCAAATCGCGCAGGCGAGAGTCCGGAGAACTGCTTCGCAACCGCCTGCATCGCGGGTGGTTTTTGGACGGGAGGGCAGCTTGTCAACGCTTGCGTGAAGGTGAGTGACGAAGCAGTCAGCGGCCGAGGACAGTGCAGGGTCGCTCCCGAGGCTCCCGCTGCCCCTGTGGCAGTGACGAAAGATGAGGAAACAGGGCAGATAGAGGTCGTGTGCAGAGCGTAGGTGCGATGGCAGCTGGCCTCGCAGTAGGAGAAGCGACTCGGATACCTGTTGCCGAACTTGTGGCGGGAAAGGGCCTCTTCGTCCTCTTGGTCGTGGTCATCGTCGTGCACGGCCCTGCTGCCATCGTCGATGGAGACGGGAGAAGGGGCGGGGCAGGGAGGAAAGGGCGGGGCTGGGCGGGGGGGCCGAGGCGGGGGGGGGGGGGACGGGACGGGATCAGCGTGGACAGGAGCGCGCGTGCAAGCTCGCCTGGGCTGCCCTCGACTCCAGCCGCGCGGAGGGACCCCCGCGCACCTCCTGGGAGGCCCGCGGGGGCGCGTCCCCCGCGGCCCCGCGAGGGGCGCCGGGGCCCCGGGCGGCCCCCCGCAGGTGCCCCCGCAGGTGCCCCGGGAGGGGGGCCCGCAGGGCCCCCGCCCGTGCTCCCACGAGCGGCCCCTCGGCGCCTTCGCTCGTGGCCCATCCGGCGAGCCCACGGCGTCGACCGCGCGCAGAGGGGCGCGAGGGGAGAGGGGGGGGGGGGGGTTCTCAGAAGCACCCCCGCTTCCTGGAAGGCGCGGGACTCAGATCTGCAGATGCAGGGCCGCCGCCCTCGAAGGAGCAGCCTCCTTCGGAGAAGCCCCCCCCCCCTTCCTCCTCCCCCTGTTGTGCGCGCCGCCAACAGGGGCTTCAACCGCGTTCCCCTCGCAGGTGCCCCGCAAGCGGCCCCCGGCCCCCTCGCTCGCGCCAGCGCGCGCGCCCGCGCTCGGAGCAGCCACTGCTCGACGGCCCGTGGGCACTCTATATCTTGCAGGCCCCCGTGGATATTGGGAGTAGCCCCCCATCCGGCCGCTACAGTCGGGCCGGACGAAAGGGGGGAAGTGGGAAAGGGGGGGGTACGAAATTAGCTGCATGCAGCTGGTTTCGGTTCCACCGAGGGGCCCATTCCTCGATACATCAGCGCCCCCGGCGCCGGAAGGCGCCGGAAAAATCAGCAACGCGAGCTGATTCTCAATGCCCCCCCTTTGCTATCCCCCCCTTTCGCCCGACCCGCTACAGGCCCGTCTTGGGGCCCTCGCGTGCCGTCTTGGAGCCTTCTTGGGGGCCTCTTGGCCCGTCCTGGGTCGATCTTGAAGGCCGCTTCGACCTGGGCGGGCCCCGTGAGAGCACAAGAGCACAAGAGTCGGAGAGGGACGCGAGTGACCTTCGGCCACGGTGCCCATGCCAGATGCACTCTTGTTGATGGCCCGGTCTCCAGCGACTGCGCAGCCAGACGGCAGGACGTGCATCATCTCAGGGCATTGCTGCGACATGGGATGATGGGGGAAAGATCCGTTGGAGTAAGGTGAGGGTGTCCTTGGGTGGCAGTGTCTTTGCCAAGTCTCCTCGGATGTTTCTTGGAAGCTTTTTGGAGGTTTCTTGGAGCGTCTCGGGGGCCTTCTGGCGGTCCTGGGGGCCTCTGGGAGCGTCTTGAGGCCCCTCAGGGAGCCTCTCGGGGCCTCGTGGGAGTCTCTTGGGAGCTTCTTGGAGGCCTCTTGGGCCGCCTCTTGGGGCCTCCTGGGCGCCTCTTGGGGCCTGATTGAGCCGTCTTGAGGCGCTCTCGGGAGCCTTGGGAGCGCTCTTCGGGCCATCTTGGAGAAGATCCATCAACAAAAATATGTGAGCTACAATTAGCTCCCCCCCCCAACCGGGAGCCCCAACAGTCGCCTCTTGGGCCTCTCTCGGGGCCATCTTGGAGCCATCTGGAGGCCGCGGAAGGCCATCAGAAGCGAAAAGGCGAGAAGGCACACATCATTGAGTTTCTTAGGTTTTTGAAAGATTCTGGCATCTTGGCTGCCTCCTGGGATGGCTCCGTGGCCACTTGGAGCCGTCTTGGAGCGGTCTTGGGGCTTTGGGGGGCATCTTGGGGGCCATTTTGAGCCATCTTGGGCTATCTTGGGCATCATTTTGGGCTCTCTGAGGCCCTCTTGGAGCCGTCTCGGGCAATCTTCGATGCTCTGCTGACCGCTCGCGGGGCGCCCCGTCAAGGTCCAGGGGGGTAGGGGTAGGGGGAAGCCCCTCCCCGATAGGATAAGAAGGGGGTTGGAAGAGGCGTCTCTCTAGACCACCTACGAGGACCTACGCCCAGAGGGCTGGTGGGATTAATTCTAGGCGCGCCCTAATACCATGCGCTCGCCGAGCGGCCCCATAGGCGCGTCGGAGGGAAAGGGTACGTGCGCGATGCGGGCAACATGTGCTCCAGTTGTGTTGGGGCGTACTGAAGGCGCGATGTGGCCAGATACTCTCGCGCCCATTTGACCCCCCCGAGCCCTCCTAGCAGTGAAGCGTCAGCACCTGTAGCCGTTAGCGTTAGGATCAAGTGCACAAGAAATTCGTGCCGCGCTTTGTTGTCTCCACTCGAACGAGTCTCGGGCGATGGCTCAGCATCGCACCTGCGCTCTTCTCTGTGGCATCCTCGTCATCGCCCAGTGCCCCCACGCTTCTCTGGCTCGCCGCCCTTCCGCGATCGAGAGGCTGAGCGAGGCCAGCTTCGTCGATGGCAGCGCGGTGCTTGAGGTCGCCGCGCCGGGCCACTTCCAGCAACCTGTGCAGCTCAGGAGCAGCGCAGAAAACGCCAGCAGTGCCCTCATCCAGCGTCACGACCACCTCTTGGACGCGGCCGTGGCCTCCAATCACACGCTTGGACGTGGAGGCGCGCAGTCGGGGAGGAGTTGCATCGTAGGACGCGGGGGAACGTAAGACTCGAGTTCGCCGGAACTCGGATTTGCCGGTGCTTGTTGACGGGCTTGTCCTGGATTTTGACGGTCTGGTAAGAGTGGGATGTGCGCAGCGGGAGCTCGCGCCAAGCTTCAGACTGGGACTCGTCATTTCCCCGGCGGCCCCCTCAGGCCAACCCGAGCCCCCCGAACCCGAGTCTTACGTCTCCCCGAAGGAGCCGCGCTCCAGGAGATGTTCCGAACAAATGCGAGACTCAAAGGTTTCGTGGCGAACCTAGCCCTGGCCATGTTCGCAGCTGGATTGGCGGCGAATGGCGCAGGCGAGAGTCCGGAGAACTGCTTCGCAACCGCCTGCATCGCGGGTGGTTTTTGGACGGGAGGGCAGCTTGTCAACGCTTGCGTGAAGGTGAGTGACGAAGCAGTCAGCGGCCGAGGACAGTGCAGGGTCGCTCCCGAGGCTCCCGCTGCCCCAGTGGCAGTGACGAAAGATGAGGAAACAGGGCAGATAGAGGTCGTGTGCAGAGCGTAGGTGCGATGGCAGCTGGCCTCGCAGTAGGAGAAGCGACTCGGATACCTGTTGCCGAACTTGTGGCGGGAAAGGGCCTCTTCGTCCTCTTGGTCGTGGTCATCGTCGTGCACGGCCCTGCTGCCATCGTCGATGGAGACGGGAGAAGGGGCGGGGCAGGGAGGAAAGGGCGGGGCTGGGCGGGGAGGCCGAGGCGGTGGGAGGGGACGGGGACGGGATCAGCGTGGACAGGAGCGCGCGTGCAAGCTCGCCTGGCCTGCCCTCGACTGCAGCCGCGCGGAGGGACCCCCGCGCACCTCCTGGGAGGCCCGCGGGGGCGCGTCTCCCGCGGCCCCGCGAGGGGCGCCGGGGCCTCGGGCGGCCCCCCGCAGGTGCCCCCGCAGGTGCCCCGGGAGGGGGGCCCGCAGGGCCCCCGCCCGTGCTCCCACGAGCGGCCCCTCGGCGCCTTCGCTCGTGGCCCATCCGGCGAGCCCACGGCGTCGACCGCGCGCAGAGGGGCGCGAGGGGAGAGGGGGGGGGGGGGGTTCTCAGAAGCACCCCCGCTTCCTGGAAGGCGCGGGACTCAGATCTGCAGATGCAGGGCCGCCGCCCTCGAAGGAGCAGCCTCCTTCGGAGAAGCCCCCCCCCCCTTCCTCCTCCCCCTGTGCGCGCGCCGCCAACAGGGGCTTCAACCGCGTTCCCCTCGCAGGTGCCCCGCAAGCGGCCCCCGGCCCCCTCGCTCGCGCCAGCGCGCGCGTCCGCGCTCGGAGCAGCCATTGCTCGACAGCTTCCTCTCGTTGTTCGGCCCTACCCCGCTTCAGCGACGCACTTCAGCCGCGAGCACTTTATCTGTCAGGCCCCCCTGGATATTGGGAGTAGCCCCCCACTCAGCCGCTACAGGCCCGTTTTGGGATTCTCCTCGTGCCGTCTTGGAGCCTTCTTGGGGGCCTCTTGGCCCGTCCTGGGTCGATCTTGAAGGCCGCTTCGACCTGGGCGGGCCCCGTGAGAGCACAAGAGGCGAATGTGCTAAAAACACCCCACTCTTGCCGCCCTCACTCTTGTCCGTAGCACCCCGCAGTTGCGGATAAGAGTGAGGGGGCGGCGAGGGCGTCGTCAGTCTGCGAGGCTTTGGAAGAACCCACCTCAAGCGCCTAACTTTCACAAATTATGCAGTGAGCCCGCCGCTGGCGCCGATTTTTTCGTTAAAGCAATGTGGGTGGATCGCGGGGTGGGTCGCGGGCCAGGTCGCGGATGGGTCGCGGGTAGATCGCGTATGGGTCGCGGGTGGGTCGCGGGTGGGTCGCGGGGTGGGTCGCGGGGTGGGTCGCGGGTGGGTCGCGGGGTGGGTCGCGGGGTGGGTCGCGGGGTGGGTCGCGGGGTGGGTCGCGGGGTGGATCGCGGGTGGGTCGCGGGGTTGGTCGCGGAGTGGGTCGCGGGGTGGGTCGCGGGATGGGTCGCGTATGGGTCCCGGGTGGGTTGCGGGCGAGTCGCGGGGGGGACGACGACAACAGCAACAACAACCAGCAGAATCCCCACGGATCCCCACCTCAGCCACGCACCCAGGGACAATGAATGACCGCTCGGCCCCCTCACTCTGATAGGCTTCCCTCCGGGAGTGGGACGAATTTTGCTCCTTGAAGGCCTCTTGAAACGCCCCGTGGCGTCTTTTTGGAACGTCTTGGGGGCCACTGGGGGGCCGTCTGGGGCCAATCTTGGGCGTCTTGGCGCGATCTTTCGGCGACTCGTGCCTCTTGGGCAGTCCAGGGGCCCTCTTCGGGCCCTCTTGGCCCGTTTTGGAGCCCCATGTCCCCCATGTCGCGTTCGGGCGGTCCCCGGGGGGACCCCCCCTCCTCCAAATCGACCGGACTAGGGTCCTGGGGGAGGGGGTTCGGGGACGAGGGGGATTCATCTCACACGCCGATGAACCCCAATGGGTCGGCGGATTCTACGCCCCCCAGTTCGCCAGCGGTGGCTCGGGCGTGTCCCGTGGTGTCCCGAGGTGTCTTGTTCTGCGGTGTCCCGTGGTGTCCTGTGGTGTACCGTGGCGCGGTGTCCCGTGGTGCCCCGTGAGGTCGATTGTGAGGTCGATAGGGGGACCGATAGACAAGTCGATAGTGAGATCGATCATGAGGTCGACTGTGAGATCGATAGATAGTAAGATCGATAGATAGAGGAAGATCGATAGTGATATCGATAGGTAGATAAATAATGAGATCGATAGATAGATGGCCAAACAGGTGTGTCCGTGGTGCCCAACTGGCTTCCGCCGAATCCGATCCGACCCCAACGACTCTGCGCCCCCAGCTCGCCGGCAGTAGTTTGTCACATGGCATGTTCGTGGAGCACGGCGTGTGCCACTGATCGTTGTTGAGTTGTCCTTCAGGTACCCCACCACGTGTGCTCCAATCCCAGGGTTGAGCCACCAGTTGTATTTGTCCTGAGAGGTCCCGGGGCGCCAGTCGTCGTGAGCTCCTAAGACCCAAGCCGCCCAATCGTAGAGGTACTCTTCGCTTGTTCCACCCAGGCGCCGTACAGAACTCCATGGAGTGCCGTGTCCCGCTCAGCATGCCCGGGGATGGCAAACACAGTCATGAACATGCCTAGGATGTGATTGTCATGGATGGGGCCGCATCTCGAGATTGAGCCGGCGTCGCTGTCCGCAACAAATGGTTCAGCCTCGGCACACCACAAACATACAGCAATTACCACGCAGATTGGAGGGAAGGAAGATCAGGTAGAACCTTCAGCAGCTTCGCCTTTTCCTCCGCTTGCACATTACCGAATGCAGGAATGCAAGCGTCCGTGCCCCAAGCGTTCGCCTTTTTCGTGTTCTGGTCTATAGTGTGCCCAGGCGTTCGGTGCCCTGTCGTGCAACCCCTGAGGGCAGTTGTTCGGGCGTTTACTCCACACCGCGAGTTTTACAATGTTGACGTCGTCGATGTGGCATACTTCCGCCAGCGCCGTCTGCACATGGTCGCAAATTTGAGCAGCCTTTTGCGGCTGGCACATTATGTAGATATCGACCAGATGTGCTACAGCTTCGGCCCCTGGCGGTAGACGGGCCCGGATGCGCTGCAATGTAGGAGGGCACCTTTTTCTTCACCCCAGTATGCTTGGAATATGTCTTCACTTACCATTTCGTCGCGTGCCCATGTGAAATGCGACCTGATCCCATACCATTGTTTAACGAAGGTGGCCAGACCCCGTAAAGAGGCGTCCCCAAGCAGTGGTTCGAACATGCGGGCTCTGCTGATGTGGGCGAAGACCCCCACCAAATCAATCTGGGTCCGTGTCTGATGAGTACTGAAGCAGGTGTATGTCCGCATCAGAGCATCACCTATCTTGGATCCCAGAGTTGTTCGGTCAAACCGCTGTACGTAATTGTTGTTGAAACTGCCTCGTAAGCGTGTGGGCCACCAGCGTCGGAGTACATCGCCACCGGGTATTCCTTTAACTCGCACATTCGATTCTAACAGTGCCGTGAGTCATGATATCACCATGCCGCCCTTGATGATTAATTTGATCGCGGCTTTTGCCACCCTGTAGGCAACGTCGCACAGCGGCTGGAACGAAGAGTCGTCGTCAAGGCAGATTTTGCAATGCTCGTATTGGTTTCCCCTCGAGCCTCCGTTGAGACCTTGTCTGGTTTGCCATGGCCTGTAGCCAACCGCATAGGCCCGCGAGGTGTGGTCCAGAGCAGCCTGGAAAGGCTCAGACAGCTCAACAGGCCGGAGCGCGAGGTGCACGAGTTCGTCATAAGTCGTTCGCTTTCACCGTGCCAACCACTTCGAAGCAAGGACTCGGGTTGCGTGGCTCAGTTCCCTCTGCTTCACCAGCGCGACGGCTTTCGATATCGCACCTGCGTCAGCCGTGCCATCGCCGTTGGGGGCTGGTCGCGGTTCCCGCCGTCGTTTCCGCGCCGTTGTGTTGTTCTTGGTTTTGGTAAGCATTCGGTTCCAATCGCCCAGATCGAACAACGCACTGTTTTTCCGTAGGTTTCGTTCTCTTGCATGGGCTCCATGCGCGGCGCGGCGCACCAGCACGTGCGACAGTAAGAGGAACAGGATCCGAGTTCGTGCGCGGCCCCCCTCCCGCAGTGTCGCCCCGGTCCGAGCACGCATGTGTACCCTCCACGTCCACCAGCGTTTGCGTCAAGATGCGTAGGACAGGTCCTGTGATGCATGTTCGCATGGATTTGGATGTGCGCATTTGTATGTGAGTTCTTGTCGGATGTCCACTGCGTCACTGTGTCTCCACACGTTGGGGAGTCCGCCAAAGGTGGGGCGCCCCCTCGATGAGCAAAGTGTTGATGAACTCGCTCTGGCGCTGGTGGTGGTAGATTTGGCCGGTCGGTTGGCGCCTGCCGTGGTGCCTCTGCCGCTCGTTGTCCGCGCGTCGTCTCATGGTCTCCCCGTTGCAGCCGTGCAGGGAGTTGCCGAACGTTGCTGGACAGGGAAGCATGCGCGGCCAGCTGTTGAACAATTCCACGGCACTTGCGCACAATATTGTATCAAGTCAACGTGCATCCCGCTCAAGCCTAACAAGATCGTTCGTGAGTGTTCGCTGCAGTTCTCTATGGCAATACGCGTTCATTCTACACTGCACCCATGTAGCGTTATGAGCCAGAAGCCATGGAGCTGAAGCGTTCGGATCGACAACACCGAGTACTCTCATGCCGCGCCGCATCGCACGCCATCGAAAGATTCGTCTTCAACGCATCGGGAACCAAAGTGCGGAGCGACCCAACCATATGCAGCTGTGAGTACCGCAGTCGTGAGTATCTTCTTCGGTGGAGCTCCTTATGGTGCACGAAGTGTGTCAGGGGTGGATGGCGGCGGCGCGCGGGCGCTGCCACTGGGGCCTTCGGTGGAGTGTCCCACTGCCCGTAATATGTTCGATGGGTGGGCACGAGAACAAAGCTAAACCACCCAAAATGCCCCTTCCCTTGTTTGTTGGCCCGCACACTCCAAGGTCCAAGGCTGCGGGCGCAGCGCAGCGTGGAGTCCCCGCGACGCGCGCCGGTCGCCCCGAGGGGGGCCCAGCGACGCGCGCGGGTCGTCTGCCGCGCGGAGCAAAGAGAGCTAGCTGGCTGGCTGATAGCGGACAAGGCCCCAGCCGCTGGGCAGAGCGACGACGGGCGAGCGAGACGCTGGGCAGAGCGCTGCACGGAGT